ACCCCTATGGGGCTGTGACCTATTCCAAGCTGTTGAAGACTATCATGTAGGAAGAAGCTTTGATGGTGGCAAAGTCTAGGAAGAGAGAAGTTCACGGTGGAGACCAACCCAGGGTTTCCTCTTGCGTCAATCAAGCTATAGAGGGAGTGCCTGCGGCACAGGTCATGGCCTCAATGGATGTCATCCTGCAGACCCTATCTAAACTGGCTCAGGTCCAAGCCATGATTCAACAGTCCTTCTGTGAGGTCCAGAAATCAGTAGGACAGGTGATGCAAGCTCATGTCACCATGCAGAAAACCATGTTGGAAATTAGATAAGCAGTGTCGGTAATGGCATTCGGAAGGGTGAATCCAGCCCTGGGCACTTCAGATGTTGCTTCCAGTGTGGAGAACCAGGAGACTTTTACGCTCAATGCCCGCAGGCTGAGCCAATGGCTGACATTACGGCTGAAGTGATACAAGCCCTACAGAAATTGTTCTTTCCAAAGGTGGCAGGAAACATCCAGGGGCCTCAGTGAAGGAGCCAACTGAGGGCCCCCAAGAATACTTTGAGCTCCAACTCTCAGGGAACACAAACTAAAACCACTCTATTAGTAAATGTCCCTCTGAGTTCATTCAGCTCATTCATGGCCACTGAATGGCCTAGCAAATTGAGACCCACCACTCCAGAAAACCGGGAAGACCAACTCCCAAGAAGCAAACTCAATCTGGGAAATCTCATGTCAGAAGGACAAAGCCTCAGCCTAAAAGATTTCCAGATTACTTAGTAGGCCCATCTCCGGTGGTCTCTGCTCAAGTGGAGGAGTCTACACCAAAGCTTTGCTCGACACTGGAACCCAAATGACCCTACTATATAGGGATTTTTATGACAAGCATTTGAAACACATACCATTACGGAAACTGGAAGAGCTAGAGATTTGGGGAATCAGGACCCAGAAATGTCCCTACAATGGCTACATACCCTTCTGCCTAGTTTACGGCCCAACCTGGATGGGGAAAACTGAGACCTTTGACACTCTGGTGATAGTTTGTCCTAGGCCTTCGGGGATAAAACGGTGCTTCCTATTAACTGGGACCAATACCAACTTAGTCCGGTGGCTGCTTACCCCACTGGCTGATCAGAACACTGTGCCACTAGAGATCATTGATCCACAGTCAAGATTATCAGAGAGTCATCAGAGAGTTGAGGGCTCCAGAAGAGGAAGTGGCAAAGTGTGGAAGACCAGGCCTGAAGAGAAAGTGCTCCAGCCGAGGGCAGTCACATGTTTTAAAGCCCGAGTCAAATTAAGCTGGGACCAGCCAGGGCCCTTCATGGTGTTGGAGATGGAAAATGGAGGAGAGACAGATGGGATAGATATTATCCCCGAAGTGACCACCACAAAGGCCCTGCAGCAAAGCCGGGGTAATGTGCTCATCTGAGTCTCCAACAACACCGCCTCCCCCATAAGTCTAAGACCTCGAACTCTGTTAGGACAAGTGAATGTGGCTACCCCAGTCAGTGTTCCTGAATCATCAGATGGCCCTACTAGAGGAGGGTTTGGCCATCAAGATTCCTCTCTGTCAGAGGAGTGGAAGAGAAGGACTAGAGAAAGACTGATGAGCTTGGAGAGAGTGTTTTCCAGAAATGAATATGATGGTGGGTGCAATAAGAGTGCTCAACATTGAATTCGAGTCAAGGAAGAAAAAAACATTTTGGGAGCGGGCCCAATAGGTCCCTCTGGGGGACCTAGAGGACCTCAGGAAGCAGCTGGAAGAGCTGAAGAGGGCCAGGATCATCCAGGAATTCAGGAGTCCCTATGCCTCCCCCATTGTAGGTGTACGCAAGAAAAATTGCACCCTACTAATGTGCATCGATTATAAAAACCTTGAACAAGCGGACTATCCCAGATCAATATACAACCCCATGAATTGAGGATGCCTTGCAGTGCCTTTCCAGGGTTAAGTGGTTTAGTGTGCTGGAATTGAAGAGTGGATACCATCAAATCTCTATGCACCCTGAAGAGAGAGAGAAAACTGCTTTCATCAGCCCACTGGGTTCTTCGAATTTGGCCGCATGCCTCAATGTCTCCCTCCGGCACTGGCTACTTTCCAGAGTTTGATGGAGTGTATGGCAGGGGACATGAATCTGATCGAGCTCTTAGTTTACCTGGATGCCATATTAGTGTTCGAGAGAACCTTGGAAGAGCATGAAAAACGGTTGGAGAAAGTGTTAGAGGCTTCACGAGGAAGGCCTGAAATTGTCCCTGGAAAAGTGCCAATTCTACCAGAATTGCATTACTTATCTGGGGCATGTAATCTTTGCAGATGGGGTGTGCACTGATCCAAGCAAGATTGAAGCTGTGACTACCTGGCCCTGACCCAACAGCATTACTAAATTGAGGTCATGCCAGGGATTCTCTTCATACTACCGTTGGTTTGTGAAGGGATTCGCTAAAACTGCTGCACCGCTCACTGACCTTCTGAAGAATATGGAAGGGGACACTAGTGAGCCAAACAAAAGTTGCCCGAAAAGGGACCTCGGAGACCTCAGGAATCTATCAGTGGCCAGTGGACTCAGAAGTGTTAGTTTACGCTGACCCCCTCCAGCCCTATGAGCTCCACGTAGAAGCCAGTCATGAGGAGCTTGGAGCAGTTCTGTACCAGGAACATGCTGGGCTGCTACGGCCTGTAGCATTCATGAGCTGAAGCCTCTCCCCTGCTGAAAGGAACTACCCGACGCGTAAGCTAGAATTCCTTGTATTGAAGTGGGCCAGTAGTGCATGAGTTGAAGGATTATCTCTATGGGGCTGAGTTTGTGTTGAAGAAAGACAACAACCCACTAACCTACATACTCACTACAGCCAAGATGGACGTCAGTGGACATCGATGGCTAGCTGCTCTATCAGGATTTTGCTTCAGGTTAAAGTACCGACTTGTAGCAGGAAACAGAGATGCAGATGCCCTATCAAGGAGGTCCTATAGTCAGCGAGCCCCTGAGTCAAGTTGGTTACAAGTGTCCCCAGAAGAGGTGCAGGCCATGAGCCAGGGTGCCAAGTATGTGGCCAAGGGAGTGGCCTAGGCAGAAGTGATAGGTTCCAGAGGTGCCTGCATTCCATGGTACTATTGTAATGTGTCACAGCTGAAGGGTGAGGAGCTACCCCAGCTCACTACTAAAGATATGCAGGAGGCCCAGGAGCAAGACCTGCTCTCCCAAGCTGACAAGAAGGGCCCTTATGGAGCAGCAACCTGACTTACTTTGGGTGGAAGATTCCCCAGATGTACAAAGTTGTTTATAGAAAGTAGGATAGATTGGAAATGAGGCATGGGGTTGTCTGCCGAAGGGGCCCCTCAGACCGAAGTGACGATCTATGGCAACTATTTTTGCCTAGTGAATTCAGAAGAATGATGTTGAGGTCACTGCATGATGAACATGGGCATTTAGGACAGGAGAGATAGTGAGAGATCAATTCTACTGGCCTCAGAGGACAACAGAAATAAAGGAGTACTGCCCCACCTGCCTGAATTACATACATAGAAAGACCCTACCTAAACAAGCTGCCTCTTTAGGCCATCTTCAAAGCCAAGGACCATTGGAACTGGTATCGATTTCTTGTGTCTAAAACCAGATTTTAACAGACAGAGGAAAGTCTTAATAGTGACAGATCACTTCACTAGATATGCGCAAGCCTTTCCCACAAAGAATCAGCAAGCATCCACGGTAGCCAGGCTATTAGTGGATTCATGACTGTGAGGAAGAACAAAAAAGAAAAAAGAAGCGCACCAACCTTGCGCATTACCTCAGTAACCAAAATTTATTAAATAAAAGAATGGTACTCACAAACAGCGAATAAAAACAGGCATGTCAGTCCTCAAAGGGACTTTAAAGGCAAGATGCAAATGCGAATCCCATCATGGAGGAAGCCACTCAGTACAACTGACGCGTTTTCGAAGGACAAGCCTTCTTCCTCAGAAGAGGGTGGGCATCGATGTATTTTGCGTATAAATTGCTTTGGCCCACAATTAATTGATATGAATCTTCTGTGAAAAACAGCGGAGCGGCTAAACGCTAGTGCTGACAGCGAATGGGGCTGATCCTGCTAAGATTGCATTTTTGGGAGCACGATACTAAGGGCACTAGTGTATATAGTTCTGTTTGTGATCAATATATTGATCAGTATAGCGTGAGTGCGATACTGTAGTGTGCGAGCAATCTATCGCTAGCTGAAAGGTGCGCTAACTGACCCTGGAGTTATCGGATGTCCCTAATGGCAATAATACAGTGATTAGTGAAAAATTCTATATACTGACACTACTAATGGCACTGGCTGGGTGACAGGATGATCAAAGAATTATTAAGGGTGGTCAAAAAGTTAAATGTGAGGAAGAACAAAAACCTCAGAGCTCTGAGGAAGAAGGCTTGTCCTTCGAAACGCGTCAGCTGTACTGAGTGGCTTCCTCCATGATGGGATTCGCATTTGCATCTTGCCTTTAAAGTCCCTTTGAGGACTGACATGCCTGTTTTTATTCGCTGTTTGTGAGTACCATTCTTTTATTTAATAAATTTTGGTTACTGAGGTAATGCGCAAGGTTGGTGCGCTTCTTTTTTCTTTTTTGTTCTTCCTCACAGTTATGTTTGGGCTTCCCCAGCCTTGGTGTGGAGCTGCACGACCTTAACTATTTCGGTGGTCCCCTCCTTGCTTTTTTTGGAGTCTGATTCCATCTACTTACCACCGGTCTGGGTCCCGGAGCGCAGGAGATATCGCATTTGGTTTATTAGTGGATTCAGTCAGATCAGGACATAGACTTTGAAAGTAAATTAATCAAAGAACTGCTAGCTCTGTTAGGTATAAAAAAAGTCCTGAACTACTTCTAATCATCCTCAATATGATCCTCAACCAGAGCGGTTCATTCAAACAATTCTGAATATGCTTGGCACCCTGCCATTGGAAAAGAAGCAACAGTGGAGCCTATAATAGCACTGAAAATGATCCCTCTGGTTTCTCCCCCTATCGTCTAACATTTGGATCTAGCCTTTGGTACTGCTCCTTGTAGCAATCGTGCACACAAAGATGGATGCGAACCTCCATTTTGGCAAAGGCCTCCATCTTGTATCATTTTCTACTCCCAAATCAGCTTCCTCAAAATACCCCCATCCCCCTCCCTCTCTGTTGAGTGACATGTGGTCTCTTTGATGCAGAGATCAAAGGCAGCAAACTCATTGGGAGGGCGTCATGGTTATAAACCCCAATTAGCCTGGCCCCCAGATGTCTGCGAGACTCTGCTTGTAAAAGGATCATAAAGCCATAAACCAAGTCCTTCACTGAGCTCAAAGACATTCCAGGTAGTCGTAAACCAAACTCACATTTAAAAAAATCCAGTTTTCCCTTATGATTACATATTTTGGAATATGAGAGACTTACATAAAAACCAGGCATATATTCAGATTGGTCACTTTAATACAAGTCACCTGATATATTACACCCCCTAGCTGGCATATCCAAGAGAGCAGAAAACGATATCTCCTTAACCATCCCAGCAGGTATGTCATATTTGATATCTAGAAGTTCAGCAGATGATTCTGCGTATTAATCTACCCGTGGATGGAATGTTACATGTACCTAGGAAAACTTATTGGCCATAGTATAATTTGCGAAGGCTTTGGTCAGAGCCTGAGCTCCCCTCCTACAACTCCCTCCCCAAATGAGGTGATTGGTTCTCTGCTTCAAGGAGACACCCTGCTGAGTTGCTAGAAAAGCTGTTATGCTTGGAGCAGAAAGCTAACCTAAGCTGAGTCGAGCTAAGTTGAAGATTCTCCCTTGTAACATTGGAACCAACTCTGGGAGATGGCCCTTTTGCTCTGAAACTTGAAAGCTGCTTAACCCAAGACTTTTGGCAAGTACTTTATCTCTCTAAATTCCTTTCTGTTATCTCTTTACTGTGTTATTGCTCTCTGTATATTTATATATATACAGTGGGGATCGAAAGTTTGGGCACCCCAGCTAAAAATTTGTATTAATGTGCATAAAGAAGCCAAAGAAAGATGGAAAAATCTCCAAAAGGCATCAAATTACAGATTAGACATTCTTATAATATGTCAACAAAAGTTAGATTTTATTTCCATCATTTACACTTTCAAAATAACAGAAAACAAAAAAATGGTGTCTGCAAAAGTTTGGGCACCCTGCAGAATTTATAGCATGCACTGCCCCCCTTTGCCAAGCTGAGACCTGCCAGTGTCATGGATTGTTCTCAATCATCGTCTGGGAAGACCAGGTTATGTCAATCTCAAAGGTTTTAAATGCCCAGACTCATCTGACCTTGCCCCAACAATCAGCACCATGGGTTCTTCTAAGCAGATGTCTAGAAAACTGAAACTGAAAATAGTTGACGCTCACAAAGCTGGAGAAGGCTATAAGAAGATAGCAAAGCGTTTTCAGATGTCAATATCCTCTGTTCGGAATGTAATTAAGAAATGGCAGTCATCAGGAACAGTGGAAGTTAAAGCAAGATCTGGAAGACCAAGAAAAATATCAGACAGAACAGCTCGCAGGATTGTGAGAAAAACAATTCAAAACCCACGTTTGACTGCACGATCCCTCCAGAAAGATCTGGCAGACACTGGAGTTGTGGTACACTATTCCACTATAAAGAGATACTTGTACAAATATGGTCTTCATGGAAGAGTCATCTGAAGAAAACCTCTTCTATGTCCTCACCACAAAAATCATCGTTTTGAACTTTGCAAATGAACATATAGACAAGCCTGATGCATTTTGGAAACAAGTTCTGTGGACCGATGAGGTTAAAATTGAACTTTTTGGCCGGGAATGAGCAAAGGTTCGTTTGGAGAAGAAGGGGCACAGAATTTAATGAAAAGAACCTCTGTCCAACTGTTAAGCATGGGGTTGGATCAATCATTCTTTGGGGTTGTGTTGCAGCCAGTGGCACAGGGAACATCTCACGAGTAGAAGGAAAAATGGATTCAATAAAATTTCAGCAAATTTTGGATGGTAACTTGATGCCATCTGTGAAAAAGCTGAAGTTAAAGAGAGGATGGCTTCTACAAATGGATAATGATCCTAAACACACCTCGAAATCCACGGGGGATTACATCAAGAGGCGTAAACTGAAGGTTTTGCCATGGCCTTCACAATCTCCTGACCTCAACATAATTGAAAATCTATGGATAGACCTTAAAAAGAGCAGTGAGTGACAGACAGCCCAGAAATCTCAAAGAACTGGAAGACTTTTGTAAGGAAGAATGGGCAAAGATACCTCAAACAAGAACTGAAAGACTCTTGGCTGGCTACAAAAAGCGTTTACAAGCTGTGATACTTGCCAAAGGGGGCAGTACAAGATATTAACTCTGCAGGGTGCCCAAACTTTTGCAGACACCATTTTTTTGTTTTCTGTTGTTTTGAAAGTGTAAATGATGGAAATAAAATCTAACTTTTGTTGACATATTATAAGAATGTCTAATCTGTAATTTGATCCCTTTTGGAGATTTTTCCATCTTTCCTTGGCTTCTTTATGCACATTAATACACATTTTTAGCTGGGGTGCCCAAACTTTCGATCCCCACTGTATATATATTGGCTACATCTTTTTCTGTAAATATTTTTATTGCACCCTTTTAACCTTTAGTAATAAATCTTACTTTCTGAAAGTGCTGAACTGTTTCTAAAGATCTTTAATGCAAACTAAGAACCCCTGCCTCTGAAGAGCGCTACTGTGTGTGTGTTTTAAACTTCAGTATATCTCTGCCTGCAGTGACAGTGGTATAACGATGCTTATGCAAACATCATAGTGTTATTGCTGATATTGCAGAGTTTCCTCTTTCTCTGTACAAAAAGGAGGTGTTGGCAGTGTGAAGAGTTAATTGCATAATTAACCTGACCCAGTAACAATCGCTCCCTGGCTGCAGATACACAGATTGTGGTCCATTAGCTGGAAAATCTTTGTGCAGGGTGCAGCTGGGCATGGCATTGTTACGCACGTGACATCACGGTTTTAGATTGGCTAGTCCTTCGGTCACGAGTTTGGTGAGAAGGGCTGGGGTCTGACGCCCGGATTGTCACACTCCTGATCACCTCACCCCTTGATCCCACCAGGGGTATGTAGCGAGACTGAAACATCAATTGGAGGCCACTTATGAGAAGGCTAAACAAGCTTCCCAGTCTGCAGGAGAAAGGAACAAGCGGCCTCATGATTCCAAGGTGAAATTGCAGGATTTGCAGCCAGGAGACTGAGTGTTGCTAAGAAACCTTGGGGTACCAGGGAAGCACAAAATAGCAGCCCGCTGGAAATCTTCACCATATGTCATCTGTTGGAAGTTGCCAGAGTTGCCTGCTCATCAGATCCGCCCAGAGGGAAAAAAAAAGGTCCTATGAAACCTTGGCACTGGAATCATCTTTTACCATTATCTGATCCTGTGCAAATTCCAACGCCACAAGTAAACTTCCTACTGTCAGAACTCGGCCATGTAGGCCTCCCCCATCCCCTCCTCAGCCCACAGGGACTCCATAAAGGGAGGAAGGGACTAATGAGGAAGAGGGGGTAGAAATTGGAATAGATTGGCGACCTCTTCTAACTGCTATAAAAGACAGTATTTTGACACCTACTTTTTCTCCAAGCTCAACTGATCCCTTGACAAGTTCCCCCCTGGAGATTCCTTCTACTACAGAGGCAGGCTCTATGAGTTATGTTAAGCCTTTCTCTTCACCAAGTCCCGCTTTTGGAGACCTCCTACTACCTGAACCTGAGATTGATTCCCTGAAGGGTTCTAGAGTGGAGTCTGCAATAGAAGAAGCTATGGAACTTTTGAAAGTGGGGGGGAGAAAGACCCCTTGGAAGAAAAAGAAAATGCTTCCTCTCAAGAGGAGCCCAAGGAGCGACGGGAGATAAGAGCGCCTAAGAGACTGAACTATGACCTGTTGGGAGAGAGCTCTAAAGAAGCCTCCCATTCTAGTTAGAGTTCTGGAATCTCTCATTTACAGTTTATTGGCATAATACCAAGAATCTGTAAGCCCCCCTGCTGACATCATGATGACCCCCCTGCTGACAGAAGATGGCAGTGTCCTGCAGAAAAATGGTATTTCACACTCTGTAGAGTAGCCCCATGGAACTTGTCTGCTGAACCGCAGGACATTGCTAAGGAACAGTGTAGTAAAGAACTACATTTCCCAGAGGAGCTGGCGAGTGGGCGGAGGCATATTTATAGGTGCATCCCTACCAACAACCCTAGACTGTTTCTTGAACCAAGAGAGTGAAAGTGCATGTGTGCCTTTCTGCAAGTCAACTACTGGGAAAAGGAGTCATATTACCAGTGGCTTCTCTGAGGGTAGTGCTACACTATCTAACAGCATGCATGCATAGAGGCTGCTGGGAATGTTTTTTTTTTATTTATTTATCCCACTATAACATGACAGCATAGCCTAATCAGCAAAGCATGCAATAAGTCAGTAAGTCTGGCTTGATTCAGATATATCATGTTTTCTTTCCTGACTGGATAAAATTATTATTTTCTCTGTAGGCTGATCTAATATCTGACACCACTTGACCTTTCCCCTAGGACAGGGTTGTCCAGCCTTTTGACTTTCCTGGGCCACACTGGAAGGACAAGAATTGTCTTGGGTCAAATATTAAATACACTAACAAGAAGGATAGCTGATGAACGGAAAAAGTTGGGCAGATCGCAAGTTAATGATCAATGATATAGACAATGTACCTATCTGAGTCTAAAATTTTTTTTTTTTTGTGTGTTTGTTTTTTTTTAAAGTAAAAGCAAAAGAGGGCAACTCAAAACTAGACACAGATATTTGACACAGATTAACACCTGGTTCGATGGACATAGTAGCGATTTAATAGTGAATTCTCAAGTTGCTCATCAGATATTTATTTTGGTTCTAATTTTGTCCTTTGTGTGCTTCATCCTTGAAACTATTTGCTCACAAATATACAGTAGGTGGTGCCGAAAACTTATGATATGAATAAGGCGTGATTGTGAAGAGTGGGAGATTTTTCTTTGGAAGTTAAAACTTATAAAATTGCAGTAAAAAGACACTGTCCAATTTTTCTTCGGCTGCATGTGTTCGCTAAGTGTAAATGCATTGTTTACAAAAAATTCCAAAAGAATCAAGCGAGTTTACAATTTTGTGTTGGGCCGCATTCATAGCCTTCTTGGGCACCAGGTTGGACACCCCCCCGCCCTAGGATAACCCTAACACCTAACCATCACCCTAAAGGCCTATACACACGATAAGAAAATTGTACGAAAATTTCCATACGAGGAGTGATAGTCCGATAATCTGATCGTTAGTACACAGCTTTCAGG